GCAGAGGGGCGGGCACCCAGGTCTGAGAGGGATGCTGGGCGCGAGCCCTGACAGCGCTCAACCGAGTTCCCCCGCGCGGACCGGGGGCCTGCACGCCGAGGGGAGTAGGAGGGCGTGGACGATTCACCCCGTATTATCCTTCCTCCCCGTTGTTTCCATGAACCACTGACAGCTCTTGGTACTGGGCAAAGTCTGGTGCGAAAGCAGCATGTTTCACTTCCCCAAAATTGGGCTCCCCTCCACCGCAAGCAAATAGACACCGCGACGCTTTCCCCGGCCTCGGCCCCTCGTGGGTGCACGGTGGGTTTGGGTGGCTCAGGAACCTGCGTGGGAACCCCGGAGCCTCCGGAGCGACAATAGAGGGAGCCCTGGAGAACTGGAACTCGGGCTGCAGGAGACCCAGGGAGTGCGCGCGGCTTTGGAAGCCCCGCGCCCCTCCCTCCGACGGTGCCCTCGGCCCCACCCCGGCACCGCGTTAGCCAATGAGCGCGGCCCGGGCGGGCGTGCCCCTCGCGCGCCGGACCTAAAAGCTGCTCCCACGCCCCGCCCACCATCCTTCTGGTCCTTACACAGACTCAGAAAGAAGCAACCATGGTGCTGTCTCCCGCCGACAAATCCAATGTCAAGGCCGTCTGGGACAAGGTCGGCGGCAACGCTGCCGAGTATGGCGCTGAGGCCCTGGAGAGGTGAGGACCTCCTTTCCCCTGCTTCGACCCGGGAGGGGGGCTCAACACCCACCCGCCCGCCTGCCAGCCACGCCTCGGGGGCTCCCCCCTGGCTGTCGCCCACATCCCCAAGATCTCAGGGCCCAGGCCGCGGACCTGCCCGAAGAGGCAGCCAGTGCTTGCAGCGCAATCCAAGGCTCATGACCCTGCCCTGGGCCCCCACCCCCGCCTTCAACCCCGCCTCTCACCCTCTTCTCCTCGCAGGATGTTCCTGAGCTTCCCCACCACCAAGACCTACTTCCCCCACTTCGACCTGTCCCACGGCTCTGCCCAGGTCAAGGGTCACGGCAAGAAGGTGGGTGACGCCCTGACTAAGGCTGTGACCTATGTGGACAACCTGCCTAATGCCCTGTCTGACCTGAGCGACCTGCACGCCTACAAGCTGCGTGTGGACCCTGTCAACTTCAAGGTGAGCACGGGGGCTGGACCCGCAGAGCTCTGGGCACAGGACGCCCGTGGGTTCCAGAAGGTGGCGCCCTAATGCCCCCTAATCCCGCCTCTCTTCACAGCTCCTGAGCCACTGCCTGCTGGTGACTCTGGCCAGCCACCACCCCTCTGAGTTCTCCCCTGCCATCCATGCCTCCCTGGACAAGTTCCTGGCCTCCGTGAGCACCGTGCTGACCTCCAAATACCGTTAAGCTGGAGCCACGCCTATCCCTACCCTGGGCTGGGGCCCCTTTGTGCTCTGGGCACCCTCACTTCCTGATCTTTCAATAAAGTCTGAGTGGGCTGCAACCTGTATGGCCTCTGTTCTCTGTGCCTCTGAAGGTGCCAGGGGGGAGGGTGGTTCTCCTTGCTTTTGGACCAGGGGCCTCTCCATAGCTGAGGAAGAGAGGGAAGGGGAAGGAGCAGAAGGGAAGGGATCTAAGGTTGACGCTCCTAGGAATGCCCTGAGCCACGCTTTAGTCCTAGGAGGTGTGAGACTTCCAAGGGTTCATCTCTGAGGCACAGGTGGGGAGTATTAAGAACTGCCACCTACTTCGAAGTCTCTCTGACTGATCAATATTAAACAAACAATATAGATCAAAATAAAACAAAGCAAAATAGTCGAACCCCCCAAATATGCCGCTCCTGGTGCAAAGGCAGGTATGTGCTAGACAATCTCCATGAGATTCCCACCTCCTCCCTGCCAGAGAAAAGGTGGGTTGGAATGGAAATCAAAGTCCCAAGCACCCTTCCTGGGTCACAAAATCCCTCTGCAGTCAGGTGGCAGGACAGTCTGGGAAGCATAGAGGGGCATGAGCTGCCTGCAGAAGTCAGGGTGCACTTTGGGGAGCACGTTAGCCTAGCACTTTACTCTCTTGTTCTGCACTTCATGAGGCACATTAATAGCTCATTGTGTTCCCAGCCCTGTGTCCCCCAGCACATTGCACCCCCTCCCACGATCCCCATTCTGTAGCCAGAGGCTCCTGGGATCTCCCAGCAGATCTAGGGAGCTGTGAGCAATACTGTAATTAGACAGTCCTCTGTCCCAGATGCTGAAGCCCTGAACTCCACACCCGATGTGGCTCTGCAGCCACCTAAGGGAAACCATCGGAGCCCCAGCCCAGCCTTGATCTCCAGGGCAACATGGTAATGCTGGATAAAAGCTTGGGGAGGGTGGCAAACCCCTTGTTCACCACTTTTTGGTGAAACATTGGACTCTGAACAGCTGACGAGTTTGCTTCCCCCGCCACCATGCACTTTCCCTGAGCCTCACAGTCCAACTCATTTTTATTTAAAAGGGGAAAAGCAATGAAGAGATAAGTTAAAATCCACTTATGCTTTCACACACACCCTTTTTGTGTTATCAAAGGAGTGAGTGTCCCTCTGCCCTGTGCCCCGCTGCTGCAGCAGAAGTCCAAGTCAAGAGTTTGGGACTAAGCCCACTGGCTCCTATTCTGTGCTGAGGGGGCGCAACTACACTTTTTTGTCAAAAATATCATCCTAACATAGATATTTGTCTGCAACCTGCAGACAAATGCTCTTTTCACTCAACCTTGCCTTCTGTGCATCTCTTCTGGCCAGTTTACCCAACTGTCTCATTTTCAGCAATGTATTGGTTATTGCTACATTTTTGTTAATTTCCTTTGTCAATTTTTCTCTTAAACCACTTGTCTTTTTCTTATTTATATGCGGGAGCTCGTCCCTTATGAAAAGCCTAAGCCATTGGCTGAGGTGTGTTCCTTCAGCCTTGCCTTCAAAGGACTCAGGGGGCAGGCAGAATGGAGCAAGATGCAGAAGGGGGGTTGTCCCAAGGCCGAGGAATGAAATGGGAACTTCTAAGCCCCCAGGGTCTTGTCCTTTTTGTTCTTCAGAGCCAGAGCCAGGATTGGGCCTGAGGCAGTGGACAGAATCAGGAAAAGCACGAATAGTAGTAGGAAGGGAAGGGGAATGAAGTGGGGGAAGGGTCCAAGAGGACCAAAATGAGAAGAGCAGGAACAGAGGGCAGAACCTGAGGGAGCGTTGCTGAGGCTTGTCTGAGCTGCTTTTTTCTATCCAGGTCAGCTTATCCATCAATTCCTCCTGGGTACCCAGGGCAAGTCTTGAGTGAAGGTCCTAGGGGAGGGATGGGGGCAGAGGGGTGGGCTAAGGGAAGCCCAATCAACCTACTGCCAAAGCTAACTCTTCCTCCAGGCTCCCGAGAAAGGGCATAGCAACAATTTCTCACTGCCTTTTCTCTTCACCCAGTTCTGATGTTTAACCTCATCAGTAATTCCCTCCCACCAACTAGACCAAGGGACCATCACTTGTCACCAGTAAGGGGACTGCACCAGCTGGAATTCCTGCCCCTTCTCCAGAAGTCCTTCCCTTTCCCCATCCTGCAGGGTCTGGCCAGCTTCTTTACACCCACAGCCCCCCTCCCATTCTGCAGCCACAGAAGCCCTCCCCCCCCAGGCCCCTACAAACCAAGTGGGGGGCTCCTCCTCCATCCTAGTCCACCTAATACTTACTCATCCTCCAGTCTCACCTCCTCAGGGAAGCCCACCATGATCCTCAGACTAACCCTAATATTCTTGAATGCCTCATCCACTCCCTTCATGCTTCCTCAGGGCCTTTAATGAGGTTGGAGACTAGATGTGCTTGTGTGATGATTTGATGACAGTCTGTGTCTCTAACTAGGCTGAAAGCTCAGCTCTTGTTAAGCAGCTGCTTTATCAATTCAACCACTATTTACCTAGTGAGTCTTGGGTTGGGATGGGAATGGCGGTGTTGTCATTGTGAACCAGGACCATTTGGTCAGTCAGAGGGAGACAGCCATTCACACAGTCACACAAGGATCCTGAAGAGGAGAGGCCCAGGATGGGGCTTCAGGGCCACCTCCCTGGGAGAAGACACTTAAGCCCCCGCTTCCCACCCCGGCCATATGAATCATGTTTCTCAGTATTTGTTTCTCCCCCACTGGTGGTCAGTGACACTCAATGATTGTTTGTGGGGAAAATGGGGGTGGGGGGTGGGGGGGATGGAAGAATCAAGGTTGAAAGGGAGCAAGAGGGGTTCCAGGTAGGAATTCTTGGCATGTGAGCAGCGATCTCCTTGTACAGGCATCTACCTCTCTCTGTCCGGGACTAGGCAGGCCTTTCTTCCTTCCCGCACTCAATAGCCCATTCATTCATTGATTCTGCCAAAGTTAAATATGCCCAGCGTGTAACAAGCCTAAGTCCAGGCAGGTCCTCAGGTGAGAGCAACCTGGGGCTAGGGAAGCTCGGGGACCCTAAAGGGTGTCATGAGCTCGTGCAGTGAAGCGCCAGCATCGACCCGCCTCTACAGTCCGGCCCCCGCCGGCTGTGGGGCGAGGGCACCGCTTCCTGGGGAGCTGGGTGCAGCGGTAGAGAAGCAGCCGCATCCTGGGAGGGAGAAATGTCCTGACCCGGGGAGGCTGGGCGCCTCCACCAGCTAGGAGCCAAGGCGAGGGCCGTGCGCGGGGCGCC